CAAATGCAATTTAATATTATGTTTTTTTCCACACTTAGAGCAGTTTGAAAATTTGCAGAACCTTGCTTGATGATTAACATTTAAACATTTAAAACATAAATGATTTTTCATGACAACATCACGTCGCTCATGAACAGGTAATTTATCGAATCGTTTACACAGGTACAATCTGTGACCTTCATTGCACAAAATACATTTAATTGTATAAATTGGTTTTTGAGCTGGTGCTACAAGGAAGGCCTTTTTTTCTTGCAACTTAGGATTATACACTCTTCCAACAGCTTTCTTTTCTATGGTAGATACAACATTCATTTCTCCTGCCTGATAAGCTGCAATGCGATTGAGTAAAAATGCCTCAACTTCAGAAAACACTGGTAATTCTTTTTTATTATATTGAAGTTGCCACTCCCCCACTGTGGCACTATCCAAACGACTGCAAATGAGTGTGACCAACCATGCGTCCCAAGACTCTATGAGTTGTCCTAATGCTCTGAGCGCATTGACATTGGACATGACATGATGCTGTAACTTTTCTAAATTTGTTGCCGATGCTATKAGGACTTTAGGTGTATCGAGTAATGATCTGATGTGAGATTGAATGATTACACCTTTATTATCATACCGGTTCATTAATGTATTGTATKCTTGTAAATAATTTTCRCCCGTGGTGGGAATTGACCGAATAACATCACTGGCCTGACCAACAAGATAACCTTTGAGATAATGAAATTTTTGAACAGGAGCTAGATTCTCATGGTTATGGAATACAATATTAAAGCTATCAATAAATGACGTCCAATGTTGCCAATCACCGTCAAATTTTGGAATCTCCACTGGTGGTAACCTCATTGTATTTTCAGTCTTGTATTTGGTAAGCTCACTATAGGTAGGACTACTTGATGTATTATTTGCATTGGCTTCTATCAGCTGCATTAATAATGCTTTGGCATGGTATAATTTATTTTTAAAATTTATATATTCATCACATTGTTGATCATCCTGCACYGAATCATCAAGCTCTTCAATTTCAACTTGAGCCATTTCATATTTTTCAGCTAAAGTATTTAATGCTTCCAACCGAATGCGTACTTCATTTATGTTACAAGATGTAGCATCATACTGGGTGCCGAAAAGTGTTGTTGTAGATAGTTCACGGTTGACTTGATTTAACTTCTTCTTGGCCAGTTTTAACYTCTTCGCCGCTGCCTCCATCGTTACTGTATACAACTTATAGGAATGCACCAAGTGCTTATCTCACAATAATAAAAAAGAATAAAATAATTATTAAACAACCTAAATCAATTAAAGGTACAAACAAGTGTGATCTTTTTATTGAATGAGCACAATTACATACAACTTTATAATAGAAAATTCAATATCCGGCTACCCGTAGGACCAAATGGTGGGGCGTAGCCTACTATATAGCTTTAATATAGTTCAGGGTTACTCCACTGAATAAATAT